TCCATACAATCCAACAATTTTGATTATGCAGTGCTGAAAAGTAAAAACTACCAACTCCTGGGTTGGGGGAGGTGGTAATTTACATTGACTGGTATTGTACACTAAATAGATATGGGGTGCCATTGATCAGAATCATCAGATGAACAGCTGCCAGTTCCGATGTCTCAGGACTGCTGTGATTCAAACATGTTCTGGAGATTATGAGTGCTATTTTAACTTTGCTACACACTCATATTTTGGAACAATTTCCAAGGACAAACTGACTATAAAGATCTGTATAAAATATAAAATATAAATCTTACTTTAAAATTTCCATCATAGAAAATGCAATTCACCTGCCTGCAAAAAGGTTAATCCACTTGGAACGTTTTCCGTGGTTGTGGACATTCATTCCACATCGAATGCATCCGCGATCAACATCAGCGATTGCCCAGTTTGTCAAGCAACAACGTTGGCAAATGTTGAAGCTCTTGGAAGGCCTTGGAAAGACAGCAAATATTAACGCTGTTTGCCTCGGCGACTCGCTTTAGAGAGGACGAAAGCGACGAAGAAATTGAGGCAGCCGATGACGATGAACCAGAAGACGAACAGAACGAAACCCTCGTAAACAGTTTGTTAGCAAAAATAAGCATTTCGCGAAGGTCTGACAATCGCCATTTTGCCAACCGGATATGTACAGTAATGAGTGTGTATGAGTCATGCGATGCTGTCCTGGATCGTTGTGACGCATTTCCGATGCGAGATGAGATGATATAGGTAATATTTAAAAATATTTCGGCTGTGGTGTGGGGAAAATAAGTTTAAACTGCCAAATCTACCAATTTTTTTTATGTGTGTGTTAAGATAGTGCAAGTGAGAGTATGCTATTTTACGCGCGTTAAAACACTGTTATTCAAACATAAATATTTCGCAGTCTAGATCGAATTTAAAAAATCCCCCCGAGGAAATTAAAGAAGAAAGCATGCTTTATCAGAATTTCTCAGTTTTGGAGTAAAAAGTTTAATATCGAATGTCACGGAGGGCGTAGAACAAGGTGTTATTTTCTCACTCCTTTTGTTTATATGTTTCGAATTTCAAGCATTCTGATTGGTCAAGGACGCAAAATGTAAACAAACGCGCTGATTGGCTAACATTATTTACCCTTGTTCCCACGATCTACATTGGCCCACTGATCGGCCCATTGGCCTACACACGTAAAAACGCGCAAGTTGTTATAGGCTAGATCCGAAAACAGGTTGTTGTCAAGCCGATATCACGATGTGTTCGCACTGTATGCTTGTTTCCAACAGTTGTTGTGACAAGTCTGGAACAAGTTGTTATCACCTTGTTACAAGTTGTTCCAACGAAACTAATACAGCCTGTTCGTAACAAGCTGCTACGAGCTTGTTGTCATCAACTTGTTACGTGATGACGATGTCAAACTTATTGGGACAACTTGTTGCGAGCCTTTTAGCCTCTTAATATTGCACGACCTTCCGTTTCGAAGTTAAGAGGCACCGGCGGATTGTCAAGCAAATTTGCTAAGTAATAATAGTCTGTCGTTTTATCATGGAAATTTTAAAATTTGAAAAACTTATTTGACGCTTATTCAGAACACCAATCTGGAAATCAGTCAGATTCTTTAAATTATGGGGGGAGGGGGGAGGGCATGGTTAGTTATTTTCTCTGTCGTGTTTAGAGAATTCTTTCAGTTTTGTTATACGGTGCATAGCGGTAAAACCCTACAAGTCCGCGAATTGTCTAAAAACATTAAAGTGTTATCATCTTCTTGACAGAGAACAGACGTATGATGTACTTTTTGAAGGAGACGATGAAGAAAAGTCGGTTGCAACTCTTTTATTGGATGCAATTATAAATGTACGTATTGGTGGGTTTTATTGCTGTAATAGTCAAAATACAAGAACCTTCCCACTTTGGCTTCTGTAGTTTGTTGATATATTTTCTGTAATCTGTTTTGTATTCAGCTGTAACGTGGTTACCCATATACTGCGATAAAATTCAAATTTCGAAGCTTTCGTGTGTTAAAATGCTGTGAATGTAACGAAAAATTTCCGCATTCTTCGCTACAAGTTATCGTATAAAAACAAATTAAGAGCACTAAATTTTGTCGCCGTATTTTGATATTTGCCGATAATTTGGTAATCGCTACAGAAAAACAGAACAATTTACAGAAAACTACAACAGACTACAGAAGTGGGTATGGGACAACAGATGCATGGCAGCAAACTTTAGAATTGATAGCTGGTTCGAAGTCGAAATTATCTTTTAACTTTATCTATATACGAATCGTATCAATCTTAATTTTTACATACACTGACTGTTTACTAGTTTGCCTGGCTATATATAAGTCCAATCTACATATTTATGCACTATTAATTGTCATTGTTCACGCGATAATAAGGTTGCGAAATAAGGTCAAGGTTACTTCTGAACATTCTCCCCTTCCTTGACTAGTCGAAGTCAATATCACACAATATATACATAATCACACATTATACATAATCACACATTATATACATAGTCTATAGCTTAAATCGTTATTTAAGTGTTTTGAATGAGAGTTTTACTCGAGTTCGCATTCAAGTGGGCAAATCTTTGTGATTGGTCTTGTTAGTGTTGTATTACCTACTCTTACTTTTACAACACGTATATGTCCATCTTTTCCAGGATGAACACTAACAATTCTTCCTAACGGCCAATGTCCTCGAGGTGAATCTGAGGAAATTACCAACACTACATCACCTTCCTTTACATTTTTCTGTAATTGTTGCCACTTTTTCCGTCGATTAAGAGTCGGAAGCCATTCTTTCAGCCAACGATGCCAGAAATGACGCACTAATTCCTGAACTCTTCTCCATCTTTTCCTCGAGTTATAGTCGGTTTCGTCAACGCTTTCTGGTGCAAATTGTCCTCCAATTTGACCATGTAAAAAGTGATTTGGAGTTAAAGGAAGATTGTCTTTTAGGTTCGCCGATTGATAGGTTAGGGGACGTGAATTTATGAGTGCTTCAGCGCCAGTAAAAGCCGACAATAGTTCTTCGTCTGTAATATCCGCTGACCCAAGTATAGCATAAATCGCTTTCTTTGCAGATTTAATCATAGTTTCAAATACTCCACCAAAATGTGGTGCGTGTGGTGGGTTGAAATGCCATTTGATACCTTTACTCGCTGTCGAGGCTACGATTTTGTTCTTGTCTAATTGCTCCACTAGTTGACGTAATTCCTTTTCTGCCCCAACAAAATTGGTACCGTTGTCGGAAACGATTTCTTGAGGTAAACCTCGTCGATTTGCCATTCGATAGAAGGCGTTAAGAAATGAATTAGTGTCCATAGAAAATGCTATTTCGAGATGAATAGCTCTGCAGGATAAACAGGTGAATAGACAGAGATAACGCTTTTGACGACGTCTTCCTCTCCCTTGCGTAGTGAAGAACGGACCTGCGTAATCTACTGCCGTGTAACAAAACGCTCGCATCGACTTCTTCAATCGAATATTTGGAAGTGGTGCCATAATTTGAGTCGCTGCTTTCGCGTTTCTTCGTTTACATTCAGAACATTCTTTTTCCCAATCCCGAATTTCCTCACGTCCAGATACAATCCAGAATCGCGAAGACATTTCTGCCAATGTTTGGTTCGTACCGCCAATATGCTTGCCCTGCTCGTGGTAATATTTCACCAACAATTTCGTGACCCAATGCTTTCGTGGTAGAATGATTGGATAACGAACATCTGTAGGAAGGAATTCAGCATATTGTAAACGTCCATTCGATCGAACAAGACCATCTTCGTGAAAACGCGGGTGTAGACCGATTAATTTGCTGTTTTTAGGTATTTCTTTTCCACATTGGAGAGCTCGTACTTCCAATAGAAAAGTTTCTCTTTGAGCTTCAGCGATTATTGCATTTTCTACTTCTCTGATCTCATCTGGAGTCAATTCACCATACGTGCGACAGGAAGCAGTTAATTTGCAGTTGCTTATAAATCGATTTACCCATGCTCGGATTCGAATTAGTCTTTGCCAAGATGAAAACATGCTTGGTTGTAGACGCCAAGGGCTTGCACAAATGGCAGTCATTGTTCTTTCAGGATTTTCTTTGTTCTTGTTGATTCTCGTTCTCTCTTCGTTACGATAGTTCTTTCTCTCTTCGTTCTCGCTCTCTTGAATTTGGATTCGATTAATCGGCCACACAGATTCGTCTTGTACCAAGAAACTAGGACCTTTCCACCAGTAATTCATGGATACTAACTTAGATAGTGTAACACCTCTTGTTACCAAATCCGCAGGATTCTCTTCAGAAGGAATATGACGCCATTGATTAGGATTGCTTAGAGTTTGAATTTCGGCAACACGGTTAGCAATAAATACTTGAAACTTTCGGCTGGGATTGCGTATCCACCAAAGAACGTTCATACTGTCCGACCAATAAGTGACATGATCAGGCTTCACCCTAAGGACGTCAATGATGGAATTCGTTAACCTCGCTCCCAACACTGCAGCCATTAACTCGAGACGTGGGATGCTCGTTGCTTTGAGAGGTGCAACTTTTGTCTTCGCAGCGATCAGCCGGCAGGATTGTTTTCCACTGTAATAAACAACTTTTGCATACACTACCGCTCCATAGGCTTCTTGGGACGCATCAACAAACGTGTGTAAGGAGAACGAAAGAACTTGTTCTTCTTTCCCCAATCGTAGACATCTTGGTATCTTAACTTTCGCCAAATTGTCTAATTGCTTGAACCACGTCTCTGCTTTCGAAACTAAGTCGTTATCATGGATTTCATCATCCCAATCAAGTCCTCGTGTCCATATCTCTTGAAGAATAATCTTCGCTTGGATGATAAATGGTGCAAGAAACCCCATAGGATCGAAAAGAGACGCCATTTTCTTGAGGAAATTACGTTTCGTAGGCGGAAGATCATTCTTATACGACAGTCCGTTAAAGGTGAAGGAATCTTCGTCCGCTAACCATTGCAATCCAAGTGTTTTAACAGTCGGCAAATCGCTCGGTTTATCTAAAGAAACATTCGTTGCTCGTTTCTCTTCTGGGATGTGTTCCAACACCGCTACGGAATTCGAAAGCCATTTGTGCGGATACATGTCAGCTTTCTCGTACAATTCGCTTAACTGACGATACAGCTCGATACCTTGTGCGTCTGTCGCAACTGAATCCATGCTGTCGTCCATGTAAGTGGATTCGTTGACCGTGTTCGCTGCCATTGGATAGATATTCTCCAATGTCTTAGCATGTTGTTGGACCACGTACTGCGCTTGAAAAGGTGATGAATTTATTCCGAATACAACGCGATTGAATTCGTACTCATCTGGAATTTTATCTTCGTCCATTGAACGCCAAAGGAAACGCTGATACTTTCGATCCTGTGGAGCAACTTCTATGCGAAGATACATTTCAGCGATGTCGCAGATAAGGGCAACTGGATGCTCTCGAAAACGAATTAGAATGTTAAACAAATCTCTCTGTAGCTTCGGGCCTTGGTAAATTTCGTCGTTCAGAGAAATTCCGTCATGTTTCGCCGATGCATCAAATACGATTCGGGTTTTAGTTGTTGGTTTGTCTGGACGTAGTACAGGAAAGTGAGGTAAATACCAAGCTTCGAGTGGTCGTTTCTCCGTCTCTTCCACCTTTCGAATATACTCTTTCTGAATATAGTGTTCAATTATGTCCGAATAGACTCCCGCTAATTCTATGTTCCTCTTGAGACGTTTCTCGGTATTCTGTAGTCTTCGAAATGCCATACCGTAATTGTTTGAGACTGTGGGCTCACTACGTTTCCAAGGAATCGCTACTTGATATCTTCCATTTTCATACTTGAGCGATTGTTCCACTTTCTGCAATGCTAGATGGTCTTCTTTCTGCCAAGGTCCACTCTCAATCGAGACAACATTTTCATTTTCCCAGAACTTACGAAGCACTGCATCAACTTCATCTAACTTGTGATCCTTTCGCGTAAAATAAGTCCGGTTGAAGTTAGTTAGCTGACATAACTGATCATCTTGTGGGACTCCAATGCATGTCCATCCAAGTGGTGTAAGCCTGGCAATTGGCTCGTTCACTTGACCTCGAACATCTTTTACGGAATAATGAAGGTCTGCGTAATCAAGACCGATGAGAATATCCACAAAAGGCTTCGATGCACTAACTGGAAACTCAATATCCTTAAGATGACTCCACTTTGTCGCATACTGATTCCAATTTACAACCTTCATGTCACCAGTTACTTTTTCGGTTGTGTAAGCTTCCATAGTAGTGTTGACTTTTCCATCCAGACTTTCCAATTTGAACTCAACAGGCATCGTCAGAAATGTTTCTATTTGACCATTCAAGACATTCACGTTGGTCCTCTGAGGATTTCCGTGAAGTCCTAACTCAGCGGCTACATCAGCATTTATATACGTCTTCGTACTAGCATCATCTAATAAAGCATTCACTGTCATTCTACGATTCCCATTTGTTAGTATAACTGGAACTGTCCGCATTGCAAGGAACTCTTGTCGTTGTGATATCTTCGAATCGACTCGCGTAGTAAGGGATCTCTCATTAACCTCTGTAGAATACTCCCCTTCCGTGGTAGGAAGAGTTTGAGTGGCTTGAGAAATAGATCTCCCATTTCTTGGTAATCTTTCGCAATTTTCGCGTTGATTGCTCTCCATTTCTTTCCTTTCAGTTTGAGGATATCCATGTAACAATCTGTTATGAGTTTTTGTACAACCATCGACACCGCAACATCTACTTTTCGTACATTTACTGCCAGTATGACCTTCGCTCAAGCATCGATAACAAAGACGCGATTGTTTGGCAAAATTCCATCTTTCTGAGACCGTCATTTGCTTGAACTGATTGCATCTCCAGATAGGGTGTTGATTATTACACAAATTGCATTTGGATACACCGTCTCTATTAAAGTATGTTCGGCCACCGTCTCTAAACTTTGATCTTTTCTCGTTTCCCGGATGTAAACCTTTGACAGTTTCTGCCGCTATTGTCTGAAATTCAGACTCTTGAATTACCCAGTCGCGAAGTGACAGTACAGATTCCGCTTTTTTCTTCTCGAATATCCACCGGTGATATTCACAAATCATTGGCTCCGTCAACTTTTTCTGTAGCTTCAAATATAAGGACCCGTTTCCAAGTTCCTCATGTCTACCGTTTTCTTGTAGGTTAATAACAGCTACATCCAAAATATCGACAAATTCCTCCAAGTCTTTTGAATTCCCTGGACGAATGGCTTTAAAATTTTCGAGCTCTTCTAAATAAAGAGCAACTTGTCGCCGCGTACCGCCGTACTTTCTATCCAATCTTTCTTTGGCAGCTTCATAAGCGATTGCAGAATGCCCCAATTTCTCAACTGTTTTTAATGCTTCCCCAGATAAATACTGTCGAAGTTGTAAGAGTTTATACTCTGGGCTTGCTGGGGCTTGATCGATGCACGCTATGAAAGTCGCTTTCCAGTTCTCGTAGTTACGTTTGTCGCCTGAAAATACTGGTATAGATACTCGTTTTAATTGTCTCCACAAATCGTTGCCAATCGTGTTCTGTTCAACTTTTGTTGTCGATTTGTGATACGGTGTGCTTTGAAATTGTTTAACGAAACGAACTGGCTCTTGGTGTAACATAGTCTTTTGTTGCTCATCTACTAATTGGTCTCCACGGGCATTACAACTTGACTCGGTTTTGAACTCGACTTGATTTTTCTCGAATTCTCTCGTACTGCTCTGTGATATACAACTCGATGAATCATCCAAGGTATTATCAAAGTAAACTTGAACGCGATTCTGTGCATCTGTAAATTCCATTTCAAGTTTTTCTATCTCTTCTGTAGTTTTTCTTAAAGCGCTTCTGTCCGTTCTGCTCGAATACTCGCATGCTAATGCGTCAATTGCTGCAAAAGCTTGCTCCTGTTTCTCGTTTAACTTTCGTCGTATTTCCCGAATCTGCTTTCGATTTGGGCACTCTTCTTCGTCGAGCAAGTTCAGTAATTGATTTCTTGCCTTTGTAAAAGCTGTCTTTGCTCTTGCTTTTTGATATTTTAACTCTTGAAGGCGATTCTCCGCTTCATCAGGTTCATCTGGTTCGACAAATAATTGTTGTAAACCCGCTGTTAACTCTGTAGTTGGCTGTTCGAATTCATTATCGCTAGCCATTTTCGATTAAATTACACGATGTGAACCATTTCCTGCTACCAATTTGGTTCGAAGTCGAAATTATCTTTTAACTTTATTTATCTATATACGAATCGTATCAATCTTAATTTTTACATACACTGACTGTTTACTAGTTCGCCTGGCTATATATAAGTCCAATCTACATATTTATGCACTATTAATTGTCATTGTTCACGCGATAATAAGGTTGCGAAATAAGGTCAAGGTTACTTCTGAACAGTTTGGATCTTTTAAAGCTGTTCGCTCTCTTTGATGGACTTGATGTTTTTGAACAGTTTTGTATCATCAGCAAACATAGCAACATGACTAGATGTAATTGTATCTGGAAGGTCGTTGACATAGAGGCTGAATATAGGACTGAACCGAGTTATGGTTTACCTTAGACATGTCAAGATACACAGCATCGATTTGACCTCCAATTGCAACATCCAAAATCGAGCCAATATAATTGGGAACTTCGAGACGATTGGCACGCATGATTTTCCTCTGATGAATCCGTGCTGCGAGGTCTTAATTACCTTGTACAGCTGTTCCAAAACTAGCTTTCGACACAATTGAAAGGAGTGAGATTGGGCGGTAGTTTTCAGCATATTCCTTTTCACCTTTCGTGTTCACAGGAATTATGTTGGCGATCGATTTTCCAATCTTCCGGGAGAGCACCTTGACTTAGAAACTTATTAAAAAGCGTGCAGAAAGTCGTTGAAATAACAGGAAATCAGGTACTAGAGGTGTGCATCGGATCAGATTGGACGTTTATAATCCGATAACTGCCCAATGTTTAAAATCCGATCCGAAATTGTCTAATCCGAATCCGATCCGAGTTTTGATAAAGAATTCCAATCCGATCCGATCCGAAGAATTCTTTAATAAAATAAATTTCTCATTCAAGTTGAAATATTTAACCAAATAAATATAAAAACAAGAAATACATGTCAAGAAGCTGACAATGTGACGAATTGAAATATCAAACGAATAATGCAGCGACAACCGCGATAATGCTTTGATAAATGCATGGATAATTAATTCTTGCGATAATGCGTGGATAATTAATTCATTTTATTTCTAATATCGAAGTCCTATCCAACTACGAAACAACTTTATCAATCCGATCCGAAATGAATATTTTGGTTCCGAAATCCGAACGAATCGGATCGGATTCGGATCGATTTCGAATGGGATTTGCACACCTCTATCAGGTACTGTGGCTTTTGTAACATCCAAGGTTTCAAGAACTGCCTGAACTTCCTCAACTGTCAGAAAAGACTGGAGTCTTGAACAGGTGGGAAATTTGTCGTCGCTGACCAAAAATCGCGGGCAGAAACAAAGCAACATTAATTGCATTTAAATTCAAAACAAAGCAGAAAGTTAGCAAGAAGCTGTTTTAGCTGACGATTTTTTGTTTTATGAATTCCTTGTTTTGGGATATTTTTTGTAATCGAGTGATTGGAAGAAGTGAATATGGCGACGTGAACATGGAGGCAAATACCGTATATGCCGAGCTATGGCTTATTTAAAACCGTAATAAACGAAGAAAAACGTGATATGAAAAAGAAATGTAAGTTCAAATTAATTTTATATGCCTCAAATTTTCCATCCTATGTTTGTTAATTTAATGTAACTTCAGCGGTCTAAGTTCAAAATACAAGCTCGCGAAATTTGACAAATTTTGAAAATATGTAAAAATAGCTTGACTTCGAACTGTATTTTTTTTAAAATAGCCCGTGGTCTCAATTTCAAATATAGCTAAATGAAAAGAAAAACTTTTCGAATTCGGCGTTTGTAGGTATGAAACATTTACATATCGTCAGGAAAACAGGGGCTCGCAACGTTTTAGCTAAGTCTATGAGCAACTGGGTAGTTGCTTCGCACGTATTGTGGTCAAATTTTCAAGAATCAAAGGCCGAAATGTGAACATTCCTTCATGAAAACCGCTTCGAGAAGGGTCTAGTTTGAAAATTTAGCTATTAATTTCAATTTCATGAGCATATTTTGGTTACACGTTAAATATTTTTGTACTTGATGAGATTCAAAGGGGGGTCTTCAAAATATGTTGTATATTCAGGCATATGGTAAAACGCGGACTGGACTGGACTGGTAAAACGTGGACTGGACTCAGATTAGTAAAACGCGGACTGGACTCAGAATATTAGTAAAACGCGGACTGGACTCTATTAGTAAAACGCGGACTGGACTCTATTAGTAAAACGCGGACTGGACTCTATTAGTGAAACGCGGACTGGATTCTGTTAGTAAAACGCGGACTGGACTCTGTTAGTAAAACGCGGACTGGACTCTATTAGTAAAACGCGGACTGGACTCTATTAGTAAAACGCGGACTGGACTCTATTAGTAAAACGCAGACCGGAATCTATTAGTAAAACGCGGACTGGACTCTATTAGTAAAACGCGGACTAGGACCACATTTTCGCGCCAAATTCGACCAAAATGGAACAAAATGGCAGCGAGCTTTAAAATCCCAACAAGTCTGAAAAGAAAGGCAAAAAAGGACCAGAGTTGCCAAAGTTTGAGTGGAAACGTTTCGAAAAAGAAAATAAGTTGGGTTGCCGTACGTTTGGGTCCGTATACCTAGCAAAATACAAAAGAAAGACTAGAAAAAGTGGTTGCCAAAAACATTAATGTCGAGTCCATTGGCATTGACTCGAAATCCTGTTTCGAGAAAGAAGCCGCACTGTTGAACAGTACAAAAGGCCACACTGGAACATAATCCGGTTCCCAGTGAATTTTCAATAATGATAGAGTATTCTTGCTTCGATTTTCGCCCGTTTCAGGCCGTTTGGAGTTGCAAAAAGTCTTTGCACTCTAGAAGATTTTGTCCATTTCGTAGACGACGACTTTGACTCCAACATGTGCCGACTTTGACTCCGTTGCTGCCAACATGTGCCGAAGAGTGTTGTCGAAGGTTTGAAATATTTGTACAACGAGAATATCGCTCGCCGGTGTCAAGCAATATTCCTGACCTCTGCGAAATACCTGACCAAGCGTGACGGGTCAGAAATTTCGCGCGTACAGGCGCGAAATACATGATGCTTGCTAAATTCTAAGTCGGCCAAAACTGTTTTTTAGAGTTTAGATAAAATAATAATGATGTTAATTTCTAATACTTCGTTAAATATTTCAAATCGTCATCGCTAAGTCAATTTAATTTACAAGCACTTTAAATTTCAAAGCGGACTGTGTGGTCGTGGCCGCGAAATAGCTACATGACGTTTGCTAAATACGGCCGAGTCGGTCGAAACGATTTTTAAGTCCATATACGATGTTACTAATAGTAGCGTTAACTATTTGTAATATAAACATCGCTAAACCACAGGCCACATGTCTCGATTAGCCCTTATGGTTATTACAGGTGGCCTTCACTCTCATTTGTAATTTTTTTTATCCATAACAGAATGTATTTGTATCTTTTTGAGTGTAAATAAACTATTGTTGTTGTTGTAAAACCTAAACGGCCAATACACAAACTAATTTTTGCTGCTTACTAAATAGTAAGAAGGTCAAACGCGAAACGGTTTTTGGTGCTTATACTGAATAAATTGCATATATATAGCATCACCTTTGAAACTGGAGTCTATTTTTGGCACTAAGTCTAAGGGGCGGACCATTTGATTTATGAGGGGGGGTTGGAAGATTTTGAAAAAAAATTAATTTCCTGCAATCCGCCAAGGAGAAAGAAAAAAAATCATGCAGCATACAATCGAGAAAAAAAATATCATGCAAAAGAGAGCGCTCAAAAAAAATTCCAACATGTAAATCTATACTGACGTTCTTCACTTCAGTATTGTGTCCACAGGCTTGCAAGATTTTGCATTTTTGAGCAGGCACATGCACAGTTAAAAGAACACGGGTGAACAGTCGACAACATCACAGGGATTCTACCGCCGTTGGAGCCTATAACATACGATAGCCAGTGGCGTTCCCTGGCAAAATTGTCCCCCCCCCGAGAAAATCTGGGCTTAAGATATGTATAAGTTTATAAGTTATTTATACATATCTAATATGCATGGTAGAAAAATAATTTTTGGATAGTTGAGTCTGTGTGCGTTTTTTGATAGCATAGCTCCAAACTATTAAAGCTTCAAAGGCCCATCTATAGGATGCAAGTTGAACCTACTGAGTACTGTATATACGATGATTTTAATGCGAAAATGCCAGTTTAGAGAGTCTAGATTTTAAAAAAATTCGGAACAGGATGCAACCGACTCTCCAACAAGCTATTTGTATGAACGATTGAAAAGCTACAGAGCTATTTGATTTGGTGGAACATTGTTGTTTCGGAGGGCAAAAAAATCACATTATTGAAATTTTGTTTTATTACATATTAATCAAAGCTCATTTTGTGATTTTCCCTTGTTTAAAATAAAGGACAGTAAGTGTTCCTTAGGCTTAGTACAGCAAAATTGTTGGACATTCCCATGGCTGAAAACGCAGGAAATAGCATTTCCGAGGTTCAAATTTTAAAATTCTCTCGGGGGAGCATGAACTCCCCAAGGTTAATTTACAGGTCATTCATATACTGTACCTCCCCCATTTTCGAGTACTCTACTCTATCCCTGCATGTTTTAGGTTTTGGTGCAGTTATACAGCTTTTGTAAGTAAACCTGCACGCTTTAGTGTGGGGAACATTAAGACATAACCATATAAAATAAAGCACAGTGAAAATTCCTTGGCCCCTCTTGGGATTCAGTTCTCGGCCTCCTCTGACTGAAAACCCCGGCTACATATCTGACGATAGCTATATGAAGGCCTTAAGTTACTGTAAGCCGTTATTATGAGGGGCAAAAAAAATATCCTGCCGCGAAATATATTGGGGAAAAAATATCTTGCGCTGCACTTTTACAGGAAAATAATATCTGTCTTATTCCCCTGGGCGGAAAAAAATTCTTGCACAGTCTGAATCTTCCAACCCCCCTCAAAAATCAAATGGTCCGCCCCTAAGAGCGTTTTTCGATCGACTTTTTCCATTCCATATATCCATATATCCATATATATATCCATATATCCATATATATATATATCCATATATATATCCATATATCCATATATATACATATATCCATATATCCATATATATCCATATATCCATATATATCCATATATCCATATATATCCATATATACATATATACATATATACATATATACATATATACATATATACATATATACATATATCCATATATCCATATATCCATATATCCATATATCCATATATCCATATATACATATATCCATATATACATATATACATATATCCATATATACATATATACATATATATACCGGGTGGCGCAGAAAAAAGTATAACTGTTTGATTTAGTACAGCGAACAATCTATAAGGGTTACATCCCTGCTACAACGTAGCTGTATTCATAATAGTCTAACTTAAATTTTGAGCTATAGCATGTTTATTTACGTGCAATATTGACTGGGATATCGCCAAATAAAATTTGGAACGAAGTTTTGAAAATCTGACAAATTGGCTAAAAATGGCCTATTAAACTGTTTTGATAAATTTTAGAATTTCGTCAGACATATTTGCTTGTATGAATTTAATTTGAATTGAAACGTGTAACGAATGATTTTCCTTATTTATTTATTTGTTTTATTATCATTTGAAAAGCAACAAAATTTCGAAAAAGATGGCTCTTTTAATTAAGAATTGCTTCGCAGTATTCCATGTCCCATAGCTACAGGGAATTAAATTAGATCAACAACCGAACAATTTGAGACAGCTTCGTGAAGCGATTATTGCTGATTGCCATAACTTTGACCATCAAATAAATCCAACGTTAATTCGTTCGATAGTATGGTCACACGTGCAAGAATATAGTTATTTAATTTTCCATGATAAACGCGTTATTTACTGCCGTTGTGTTCTTCATATATCGTTAATTCCTTTACTCGTATTTAATAGGCTATTTTCAGCTAATTTTGGAACGTTTTGAAATTGCATATTCAAATTGATTTACCAATATCTGGGGTAATACTAAACAAAAATGCATGTGTTATACATCAAAATTTAAGTTAGGCCTTCCTGGATAGGATAACATTTATTTGAGGAACGTAACACTTATAGTTTTTTCGCTGTACTAAATCAAACGCGTGAACTTTTTTTTGCGCCACCCGGTATATATGCAGATTGTACTATATATATATATATATATATATATATATATATATATATATATATATATATATATATATATATATATATATATATATATATACCGGGTGTGCCAAAAAAAAGTACTCCGGTTTGATTTATAATAACTTCTAAACAAGTAAAGCTATCAAACAGAAATAACTTGCATTAAATAGAGGAAGGACTAACTTAGATTTTGATATATCACAGTTGTATTTTACTTAAAAATTCACGGAGGTATTAATGTTCAAAATCGGGAGCATATTTTGGGATGGGTCTAAAATTAGCGAAAATCGGCATATCAAATATTAACTTCAGCGTTTGTTTGCTTGATGACATATCAGGC